TAAACTAGGATTATAACTAAAGATCTATCTATTCCTGACTTAACCACTTAGGCATTCTTCAGTTTTAATCTTAAGTTGTTACTTACAACATGAGTATCAATTAGCTTCCTCAATGCCAAATTTTTCGTGACGGTAAAATAACCACAATAAGCTAGCCATGGGCCAATCTACCTTAGCACCCATGCATGTCAACCTCACCACCTACGGTTTTCATTTTGAAAATTTTAAGCCCTCCCGCTATTGAACAGGCATACCTTCTAATAACATCCTTAAATTCTTCCCTGTTAGTAAAAATAGGGCCCACTTCCCATTGTAATCCTACCATGGACTTTTGCTTTGAACTTTGAGAAGGAACTAATCTATTGTATCATCATTGTCATCCTCCTCACTTGCCATATTTTCAGGAGGTTAAACAGCTTATTATCAGACTCCCAATCATAATCTATACAAAACCCCTACATTGTTGGGTTTATTTTTTCACTGTCTTCATCATCCACGTATTCATCACCACTCAGATATCCATTCCTTGCTGCTCATCCTGTTCACTTCCACTTCTTCTTCACTTCCGAACCTGCAATTCAGCCTCTGATCCACTTTATAAGGCTTCTCACTTACATCCTCAATTCATCCTCATCTCAACCTCCACTGCCACATCATATCTTCTGCATCTCATGCTGAAACATCCGCATTATACACTGACTCCTCTTCTCAACCTCCATGCATCGTCATGCAAACATCCAACCAATCCCATTGTCAACATCCAGAGTAAACCTCATTGCTGTGAACCTCCAATCCTTTCACTTACATTTCAAAACCATCCCGTGGCATCCCATTCTCAACATCCCAATTTGCAACTCATCTTCAAACATCCACTGCAACCCTCCACTACGTCTCCATTCCTTCCTTACCACCCTCAACTTGTGCTTTCTCCTCCTACGCCACTATCCCCACCACTCTCTGCATGGACCTCACATAGCAAAGAATCCCATTCTCATCATTTTCTAAGATATAGTTGCTTCGTCCACCCCCATGCACAACATACAGGTTCACTTCCCCTAAATTACTTAGCCACATTCAACATGTTCATAGCTCCTTTATCATCATCAACCTTATGTAGAACATGTTGGACACTGTAATATAATTCTTCTACTTCCATGTATCCCATATGTTAAGTGAAACTATACTCCCAAAATAAACCCCATTTATCGGGGTCTACGTCCCAATTAAACTATCTTCTCCGCCTATATAATTAAAGGGGACTTCTTTGATCAAGGTCAAACCATGGTGGACCACTACCCGAACAGTCATCAGGACATCCCTACCCGAGAACCCTGAACAAATGCAAAACGGGGCCCACTCATTCAGTTAAGTAAGACCCTATGGGACCACTATCATGCCATCAAAAGAAGACAACTTTTCACACAAACAATGTAATCCACAGTTAAACCCCCTCAAACGCGACAACAATGAAAACATTTCGAAAACCCTAACCTGATTTGATTTGCGGAATTGGATTTCCTCTGCAGATTTCACCTTCAAGATCACCCAATTTGGATTTACAGGTCCTCCAAAATGCGTATCCCCAAATCGCGATTTCGAATTACCCAAACCAAACCCTAACACTCAGATTTTTAATTACTGCCCACTGCCACGTTCTCAGTTAGTGAAAAACACTGTCATGCCACGTTTCTCCAAGTTAAAAAAGCCACGTTGCACACATCAGTCACGCTGTCAGCAGGATCGTTAAATTTTTAACGCCGTGATAAAAAAGGATTAAATTGGACACTTTTTTCACAACGTGGGACCACATTGGACTTTTTGAAAAAGGTAGGACGAAATTGAACATTTTCCTTATAAATAGGGAAAAAAAGAGGTATTAAGCCTAGAATTATTTGAGAAAATGAAAATGGCAGCAGAGAACGTAGAATTTTAGTTGGGAATATTAACGAAACAACCTCGTTGGTCCCTTTCACCAAACCAAAACAACGTGGAAATCTCCTTTGGTTTGCTGTCACTCTTACCCAATCCCCAGTTTTTTTCTTCCTCCTCCGCTTCTTCTACTTCTCATCCTTTCTCATTCCTCAACGCAATTCAATCTCTCTCTCTCTCTCTCTCACTGGGTATGTGTTATTCCTCTTATTTTCTCTATTCAATTACCCTTTCTCCTTTTCCATTTCAATTTCCCTTCTTTCCCTTTTGCATTCGATGGGAGAAAAATACCATGAACAGGGATTATGGCTTTTGTAATTGATTTCATGTCTTTGTTTTCGTGGAGAGTGATTGGAATAATTAGTTGAAGGGTAGGTGTTGGATTTGGCTTTTATTTTTGCTTTGCCTGATTTTTCCCTCTAGAATTTTCAGCATATCCCATCTGTTAACGTTCCTAGTTCTTTTTTTTTTTTTTTTAATTTTTATTTAGCGTTTCTTTTGCAATTCCCATTCAGTTTATATCAGCTTGTGGGTATTTTATAAGTTAGAAAACTGAAACCCATCTATACGGGATGATAAAAGTTTGAGTAAATTGTCATATTTTTAGTTCATGAAATTGGCATAAGTGGTTGGTTTGGTCATTGGAATGGGAAAAAAAAGCTAATTTAGTCCTTGAACTTAACTATTAAGTTAGTTAGTTCGTTAGATTAAGAAAAATATTTGGTAAGTATAAACCGATTGGATCACTGACTACCTCTGAGAGACAAACAAAATAAGAATTTTATGATATAAATCCTACTGAGTGCCTATAATTAAACCATGAATGGATGACCTTTGTGGTCATATACAATAGGTTCTTCTTCGTGTGTCTTTGATTATGTCGTGTGACTACCAAGACACATGCATATACATACTAATTTATTCTTGCTTGTATATAGAACAGTATATTGCATTCATTTATTTAAAAAGGATCCTCAGGGTTTAGATTGATTTTACAACAATTAGTAATGGCTGTATGTAATTCTTCGGCTTAGTCTTCATTCAGTTTATAATGTATTTATAGCATGAATTCTTTTTGTTAACTGGCTGAATCCTTGTAACTAAACTACAAATAGATTATAGATGACTTTATGTCATATTTGAAAGGTTTGTCTTGTCTGTCTGAGCGTATCCTGTGACCACTAATGCATGCATATATGAGAAATACTATACAGTACAAACTTTTCGCATAGGAATTTCAAAGAAAAGTGAAGCTAACCAATCAGGATTCAGCACCATACTTTTTACTTAACATTTGGAGAGACGAAACATGTCTACACAAAACCACATTTCATTTCATGGGTGGTATAAACTTGTATTTGTACCGTGTAGCATTTCATACAAATATGCATGTATATACTAATTCAGACATGTATGTATATGTTAGGTTTATGAGATAGAGACCTAACTATTCTCGCAACACCCACTCACGCCAAAGCAAATAAACAAGAGAAAAACAAAGGAAATGAGTATAATCTGTGTAATGGTATGTATTCACTGTAACTGTAAAATGAAACAATACAACTCGGGAGCCTAATCCCCCTCAACAAGGTCCAAGACCTGTTTACAAGATGTAAGAAAATATCCCCCCTCTATATGAGATAACAAAGGTATATTTATACTCTCTCTCTCCCCATAATAGCCTAACAAACTTTCCCGCTCTTTTTATTCATCATCCACCGTTCGGTATTAGCAACTTTATACCGTTCGACCATGCGCTCCCTCCTCCTTAGTATCCACCGTTCTATATTTGTGTATATACCGTTCGGCTCCTTCGTTCCTCCTCCTCTACCGTTCGGATCCCCACTCCCTTCCTCCTATTCCCACCATTCCCTTACCGTTCTGTATTTTTCTTCCTCCTTTCATACACTTTCCAACTCCTAACAGTATATGAAAGCATAGTTTATTAATTTAAAATTTTCTAGTGCACTCAAAATTTAGACTGATTTTGCAACAATTAGTAATTGCTATATGTAATTTTGCTGCTTAGAGTCTCCATTTTTGTTTGACTGGCTTATGAATTTTAAATGGCTGGTTGGAGGATTGTTTATGGTTTTATCGTATTCTGCAATCATTAGTGGTGATTAACCATTTTAGTGTGGACACATGGTCTACTTTCTTTTGTCAGAGAATTGAGTGTTTTTAGATTTTAAATTTGGTTCAATGCAAAGGCATTTCTTCACCAACATTGCAGTAATTTAGGTTTCTCTTTTCATGTGCAGTAAAAGCTTTTTAATAGATTTCTGATAGGTCCACGATAATGTGTATACTAGAGTTGGCTAAAAGGGAGTGCGATAAAAAGGTGATGATGGACAGCACGTGTGAAGTGAGAATCAAAATGGGAGAAAATAGGCAAATAACTCACACAGAGAACTTGCCAAGGGAGGAGTTATATGGAAAATGATGGGGAAAATGATAGCAACAGGGACAGCTGTCACATGCTCAGTGGGGAAGGAAATTTGGGGAGAAAGGGAAATTGGAGGGGGGATATTGGTTGTTCTGTTCTCTGCAGAATATTCATTGTTTTTGTTGGAAATATGAACAAAATCTGCTTTTAGTAATTAATGTAGGGATTTATTATGTAGGCATATCATATTATATGAACAAAAGTTAGACAGACAGTCCAGCATCTTATGCCTGTTTTCTCTCTTTCAATAGTTGTTTCTTGTGTGTTCTTCTATGTTGAGAGAAAATTTCTTATATTGTAAGGAGCTTGACATCGCTATTTTGTATGGTCATGTATTGTGAACTTATCAATCAGTACACTGGAGTAAAACTAAGTTCTTGTTTTAAGCCTTTGGTTATTTGTTTAAATTTGTCAATCTTGTAGAGAAGTGTGCTTATTCTATTCAAACTCCTTGCAGCCATAAGAAGCACCATATTTGCTCAATCAGTTCCCTTCTGTGTTACTTTCTTCTGCTCTCTCCAGCCTTTTCAAAACGAAGCTCCTTCCATCACTCTCAGGTTTTTCTGTCAAGTATTGTTGCTGCTTCTGCAAAACTCATCCAAATATTGCTGGTAACAAGTCCTCCATGAACCTATTGAGTAGACTCGTCGGGTTGGGTAGCCCAAGGGCAGCAGAAAACATTAATTCAGCAGCTGCCCAAGGACCGGATGATGACATACCCGAACCAGGTCAACAGTTTGCCCAGTTTGGTGCTGGTTGCTTTTGGGGTGTTGAGCTGGCCTTCCAGAGAGCAGTGGGGGTGACCAAGACAGAAGTTGGTTATAGCCAAGGGCTGCTGCATAATCCAAGCTATGAGGATGTGTGTACAGGGACCACACACCACTCAGAGGTTGTCAGGGTCCAATATGATCCCAATCAATGTAGCTATGAGAGTTTGCTTGGTTTGTTCTGGGCTAGACATGATCCTACTGCACTGAATCGGCAGGTAAATTTTTATTTTTTAGTTGTTACAAACGCAGTCATGCTTAATTGAATGTATTGGTCTGGTTTGATATAAGGACCATGTTCTTACTGTTTACTAGTCTACAAGTTTGTTATATAGTGATCTATGTAAACTCTCGACTGATAACCTTGGCTTCAAGTTTGATGTCTACACTTCCCTGATCTGAATTACAAGTTTGGGCTTGTGGATTATTTATGTAAAGTTTCTTTAGAATTATTCACCAACTCTACTTAAAATAGTTCATCGTTTTGCTATACTTTATTTTTGCATCGTGATACATGGTCTAGGGTGATGCTAATTTCTGNTTTTTTTTTTTTTTTTAATTTTTATTTAGCGTTTCTTTTGCAATTCCCATTCAGTTTATATCAGCTTGTGGGTATTTTATAAGTTAGAAAACTGAAACCCATCTATACGGGATGATAAAAGTTTGAGTAAATTGTCATATTTTTAGTTCATGAAATTGGCATAAGTGGTTGGTTTGGTCATTGGAATGGGAAAAAAAAGCTAATTTAGTCCTTGAACTTAACTATTAAGTTAGTTAGTTCGTTAGATTAAGAAAAATATTTGGTAAGTATAAACCGATTGGATCACTGACTACCTCTGAGAGACAAACAAAATAAGAATTTTATGATATAAATCCTACTGAGTGCCTATAATTAAACCATGAATGGATGACCTTTGTGGTCATATACAAAAGGTTCTTCTTCGTGTGTCTTTGATTATGTCGTGTGACTACCAAGACACATGCATATACATACTAATTTATTCTTGCTTGTATATAGAACAGTATATTGCATTCATTTATTTAAAAAGGATCCTCAGGGTTTAGATTGATTTTACAACAATTAGTAATGGCTGTATGTAATTCTTCGGCTTAGTCTTCATTCAGTTTATAATGTATTTATAGCATGAATTCTTTTTGTTAACTGGCTGAATCCTTGTAACTAAACTACAAATAGATTATAGATGACTTTATGTCATATTTGAAAGGTTTGTCTTGTCTGTCTGAGCGTATCCTGTGACCACTAATGCATGCATATATGAGAAATACTATACAGTACAAACTTTTCGCATAGGAATTTCAAAGAAAAGTGAAGCTAACCAATCAGGATTCAGCACCATACTTTTTACTTAACATTTGGAGAGACGAAACATGGCTACACAAAACCACATTTCATTTCATGGGTGGTATAAACTTGTATTTGTACCGTGTAGCATTTCATACAAATATGCATGTATATACTAATTCAGACATGTATGTATATGTTAGGTTTATGAGATAGAGACCTAACTATTCTCGCAACACCCACTCACGCCAAAGCAAATAAACAAGAGAAAAACAAAGGAAATGAGTATAATCTGTGTAATGGTATGTATTCACTGTAACTGTAAAATGAAACAATACAACTCGGGAGCCTAATCCCCCTCAACAAGGTCCAAGACCTGTTTACAAGATGTAAGAAAATATCCCCCCTCTATATGAGATAACAAAGGTATATTTATACTCTCTCTCTCCCCATAATAGCCTAACAAACTTTCCCGCTCTTTTTATTCATCATCCACCGTTCGGTATTAGCAACTTTATACCGTTCGACCATGCGCTCCCTCCTCCTTAGCAGCCACCGTTCGATATTTGTGTATATACCGTTCGGCTCCTTCGTTCCTCCTCCTCTACCGTTCGGATCCCCACTCCCTTCCTCCTATTCCCACCATTCCCTTACCGTTCGGTATTTTTCTTCCTCCTTTCATACACTTTCCAACTCCTAACAGTATATGAAAGCATAGTTTATTAATTTAAAATTTTCTAGTGCACTCAAAATTTAGACTGATTTTGCAACAATTAGTAATTGCTATATGTAATTTTGCTGCTTAGAGTCTCCATTTTTGTTTGACTGGCTTATGAATTTTAAATGGCTGGTTGGAGGATTGTTTATGGTTTTATCGTATTCTGCAATCATTAGTGGTGATTAACCATTTTAGTGTGGACACATGGTCTACTTTCTTTTGTCAGAGAATTGAGTGTTTTTAGATTTTAAATTTGGTTCAATGCAAAGGCATTTCTTCACCAACATTGCAGTAATTTAGGTTTCTCTTTTCATGTGCAGTAAAAGCTTTTTAATAGATTTCTGATAGGTCCACGATAATGTGTATACTAGAGTTGGCTAAAAGGGAGTGCGATAAAAAGGTGATGATGGACAGCACGTGTGAAGTGAGAATCAAAATGGGAGAAAATAGGCAAATAACTCACACAGAGAACTTGCCAAGGGAGGAGTTATATGGAAAATGATGGGGGAAATGATAGCAACAGGGACAGCTGTCACATGCTCAGTGGGGAAGGAAATTTGGGGAGAAAGGGAAATTGGAGGGGGGATATTGGTTGTTCTGTTCTCTGCAGAATATTCATTGTTTTTGTTGGAAATATGAACAAAATCTGCTTTTAGTAATTAATGTAGGGATTTATTATGTAGGCATATCATATTATATGAACAAAAGTTAGACAGACAGTCCAGCATCTTATGCCTGTTTTCTCTCTTTCAATAGTTGTTTCTTGTGTGTTCTTCTATGTTGAGAGAAAATTTCTTATATTGTAAGGAGCTTGACATCGCTATTTTGTATGGTCATGTATTGTGAACTTATCAATCAGTACACTGGAGTAAAACTAAGTTCTTGTTTTAAGCCTTTGGTTATTTGTTTAAATTTGTCAATCTTGTAGAGAAGTGTGCTTATTCTATTCAAACTCCTTGCAGCCATAAGAAGCACCATATTTGCTCAATCAGTTCCCTTCTGTGTTACTTTCTTCTGCTCTCTCCAGCCTTTTCAAAACGAAGCTCCTTCCATCACTCTCAGGTTTTTCTGTCAAGTATTGTTGCTGCTTCTGCAAAACTCATCCAAATATTGCTGGTAACAAGTCCTCCATGAACCTATTGAGTAGACTCGTCGGGTTGGGTAGCCCAAGGGCAGCAGAAAACATTAATTCAGCAGCTGCCCAAGGACCGGATGATGACATACCCGAACCAGGTCAACAGTTTGCCCAGTTTGGTGCTGGTTGCTTTTGGGGTGTTGAGCTGGCCTTCCAGAGAGCAGTGGGGGTGACCAAGACAGAAGTTGGTTATAGCCAAGGGCTGCTGCATAATCCAAGCTATGAGGATGTGTGTACAGGGACCACACACCACTCAGAGGTTGTCAGGGTCCAATATGATCCCAATCAATGTAGCTATGAGAGTTTGCTTGGTTTGTTCTGGGCTAGACATGATCCTACTGCACTGAATCGGCAGGTAAATTTTTATTTTTTAGTTGTTACAAACGCAGTCATGCTTAATTGAATGTATTGGTCTGGTTTGATATAAGGACCATGTTCTTACTGTTTACTAGTCTACAAGTTTGTTATATAGTGATCTATGTAAACTCTCGACTGATAACCTTGGCTTCAAGTTTGATGTCTACACTTCCCTGATCTGAATTACAAGTTTGGGCTTGTGGATTATTTATGTAAAGTTTCTTTAGAATTATTCACCAACTCTACTTAAAATAGTTCATCGTTTTGCTATACTTTATTTTTGCATCGTGATACATGGTCTAGGGTGATGCTAATTTCTGTTGCCTAATGCATGCACTTATGTTTGAACATCCTGTGTTGTCTTGTTTTGTGATTTCTGTTTCCAATATGTTATCATATGTATTGGGTTATATCAAATTGATGGGGGAATCTCCTTGAAGTTTGTTTCTTTCATTACTAATTATTAAGCTCTTTGCCATGCCAAGTGTGGGATTTTTTACCCTGCCGTTTGTTTCCTTCATCACTCATTCCAGTTTTACTTACCATTACACCATACATATGTATATGTGACTTCACAGTTCACAAGTTATTACTATAGTTCTCATCAGTTACGTTTTGGGAGTTCATTGCAAATACTTATTTTTACATGCTTCTGATGAAACCGTTTTTTTCTTTTCAGCACTGCAATTTTTCTCATTCTCTTCATCATTCAAATGCATGCGCTTATGAACTTTGAATATGTGTTGACAACTTGTGATCTGTAGTGCTGCTGCAGCTGCATCATGTGGCTGAAGTACTAAGCAACAGTTTGTTCTTCCTATGTGGCAGGGTAATGATGTGGGAACACAATACAGGTCTGGAATATACTTTTACACACCTGAACAAGAGAAGGCAGCCACAGAGTCCTTGGAACAGCAACAGCAGAAGCTGAAAAGGAAGATTGTTACTGAGATTCTTCCTGCCAAGAAGTTCTACAGGGCAGAAGAATACCATCAACAGTACCTCGAGAAAGGAGGCAGATTTGGTTCCAAGCAATCTGCTTCAAAGGGTTGCAACGATCCAATCCGATGCTATGGTTAGGTTATTCATATGGGAATTGCATCGAAGGTTCTAAATGACATTTAGATGATTAAAGCATGCTTTTGTTGGAAAGTATTTTATCTATAAAGCTAAGTCACACTCTATCTCTCTTCTGTATTGTATTTATAGGGTGAAGATCACTATAGAACTAGAATCACTTTTTAGAGTTATGTAGTAGTTTATATGTATAGTTTTCTAATAAACTGGTCTTATAGTGTATGCCTTTAATTAGTGTCACTTCTTGATTTAAAATGTCATTTTGTTTTGGGGTTTTCACCCTAGATTTATGTGGATAATTACTCAAAACAATGTTATATGAACTGGAGGAGTAATGAACTTGTCATGGTGTGCTATATTGAATTCAAGATTTATGTGAAAAGGATTTAAGAGGGGTTAGTTATATATTATAGATATCTAATAATGAAAAACCTAATACATTTTAGATTTTGTTTCCAACTTTTTAAGTAAAGAGTTATTTAGGGTCAAAGGTGTTCTTAATCTATAGTATGATATGCACTTTTGAATTCATGAAATATAGTTTAATCATTAATACTTTGTCCGATTATTGCTTACTTTACAACTTTCTAAGCATGCTTTTGTTCTCGGTACATTTTTCAACGTTTCTTACTTGTTTTCTAAATGCATAAACAATTTATTTACCTTCACGTAGTATTTTTCAAATAAAACTTTGTAAAATTGCTTGTAGATTAGTCACAAACTGTTTTAGGACACCCGTTTCTGAAATATTCCTTCTTTTGATTCTTCGTAAGTATGAGATTCTTGTACACTGATTGTCAACGACATAACTGCCATAAAAAAATAATCTATCGTAAAATCATTTAACACATACACAAATGTTGCACACTAAAATATGCAAAGTGTGAAAAAAAAAAGAGAAAACTTAAAAAGAGAGATTTCAAATGAAAAAAGAGTAGAGAATGCAAGATTTTTTTTCTTAAATAGGACTAGATAAAGCAATCTAAAGTTGGAAGATAATGGTTAACTGATACATTTTAGTATACTAAATTAAATTTTTATTAAAAATTTTTGCTATATTGAATACATAAAATATTTTTTATATTTGTAAATTATATAATTTTTGTTATCATTGATCACATCTTTTCTCTATTTTCTTCTAACTTGTTTATTTTCTTTCCAAAAGTAACTTCTCCGCAAATTAAAAGTAATTAAAGAAAAAAATATTGATCAATAAATTGGAGAAGAGACAGAAATAATGACCATATCATCTTTTTAATAGCAAAATTAAATGAATAATTTTTTTTAATAAAATACTTACAACTTAATTAAAATATTCAAATTTATAAAATACTTATAACTTAATTAAACTTTAAAAAATATTTTAATTATTATTTTGTTGTTGTGTCGTTTAAATTAAATAGAAATATTATAATTTTATAAAAAAAAATAGATTAAGAGAATAATGTAAATTTTTTAGGGTAACCCATTATTTAAATTCATATAAACTAATAAAATATATTTTTAAAATTTAAGTATGAGTATAAGTTTTATATTAACTAAATAAAAAAAATGGAACACAATAAACAGACCTATGATATCAAATCTATGTTAATTAAGTTTATGTTTTATTGTTATTGCATCTCCTTGAATATTATAAATTCTATCTTCTCACTTTTCTTGTCTTTGATTAGTTCAAATAATAAGGACATTGTTTTTTAATGCGGCATTCATTCTTGTTTTCTTGCAAATTTCATTAGAGAAATATCAATTTTTTTTTTAATATAAAGTGATTTGTTTGATATACCAACAATTAATTTTGTAAATTTTTCGTTATGTTTTTTTTCATTCAGGTTACTAAGTTTAATTCTGCTTAATTTTATTTATGTGAATCTCATTATTCAAAAAATATGTACATAAAATAAATTTAATTACACATTTCACAATTCAATTATTTTGTAAATTTGCTTTCATTAACTTCTTTTATTATCGTAATTTTTAATTTTCACATTCATTAATTACATAACAATACTGATATATCGTAAAAAATGAGAAAAAAATCATTTTGTTGTAAAGTAGTCATAGACTCTTGCATACGCACTATTCGTTGTTTTTTTTTAATTTGTGTTAAAATATTAATTAATTATTATTTTATTTAATAAATAATTTATTTATATAACTATATTTATTATAATTATTCATAATTTTAAATAGGGTTAAATATATTTTTAGTTCCTCAACTATTAAGCGTTTTTGGGTTTAGTCCTTTTCTCAAATTTTGTTTCATTTTTATCATTCTTCTTAATGAAACTGTAATATTTAGTCTTCGAAAACCAACAACGTTAATTTTTGCGTGATTTGGCTAATGGCATGTCATGTTTCATGCCATGTGTCCTTCTTCAGCATAGACTCCTCAACAACAGTAGGGTTCTTCCTCCTCCTCCTCCACCACTACCTTCCCTTTCAACTTCGTTCCCGCACAAGCCGCCGACGCCAACCACGACAAAACCCAATGCAACAACCCTAAGTCGCGTTCCAGAGAAGAAACTCATCTACGCAAATCACAAAGTCATTGCAAGCTTCGTCTTCACAGGAACTCTTCGCGCAACGTGGCGTCTTCTCCTTTGCACAACCATCATGAAGCCTTCATTCACCCCTAATAGCAGATGGACAATCTCCAAATTGTTTCTCATAACAACTCGCAAACAAAGCAAACTCAAAAACTCAAACAGTACCGTTACAATTGCGCAACCAAGACTCAACCCAATGATAAATCATATTCATCTTCCTCACGAGAAGCCTCAAACCAGGTTCGTTCCTCCTCCTTCATCTCACCACGAACCTGCACAGGGAAAAGAGATGAAAACCCAGAAAAGAATGATGAAAATGAAGGATGATTGATGCGAGATTAGGGAAGATCGCAATTCCCATGGTGGCGTGATTCTCTGTTTCGCGATTTGGGGGACATTACGATTAGGGTTTGCTGAATTTGGAAATTTTCTGTGCATTGAATTTGTTTACCAGGAAGAACTCTCACGGCGAGTTTCGCATTTCTGATGCGATGAAGAAGATAATGTTGCATTTTGGAATTTTTGATTGGGGTTGTGAAGAGGATGAACATGGAGCTGAAGGCTTCCATGGTTGCGTGATTTCTGTATGTGGTTAGATTATGGTGGTAACGCGAGGGAGAAGACGAAAATTTGAACTCGCGTTTTGCGATTTAAGGTTGTGAGTGCGAAAGAAATGACATGATTTCGGGATGGTTGTTGGCATGGTGGTGCGAGGAAGAACCCTATCGCTGTTAGGGATCCTATGTTGAAGAAGGACACATGGTATGAAACG